TTCCCATTTTTTCAGTTATGTTCACACATTACCCGTACCAGTTGTGATTGAATTTAAATTATTGAAATGTAGATTATGATCAGACCAAAAGAATAAAAATTCAGGAGTGGTATTATAGCCATTGTTATCTAATGCCAAAAAAAATCTAAAATAGAGCTAATCATTACCATCCCTTTTAAAGAAAAAAAAATTAATAAAATGCCTCTGATAGCACCCCATAGATGTTCCAGCTTTCACTTGGGCAGTTAACCATCTGTAGTTGCTTCTCACAACCTTGTGGTCAATTCCAGTTTGTGAAACACACAAACATGCATGCATGCCCACACATATACATATAAAATCTCTTGGATCCAGGGCTGTGTGTTTTGTGAATCATATGTGAAAAGAGCAACTGGCTTAAAAATAGAGTAAGTTTATATCTAACAAGGGTTGCACATCTGGGTTTTTATAGGTAGCTAAGATTAAACCATAGTGCCAGCGTTATCCTTTTCATCCCTAGTTCTTGGAAACATTAGGTTTATTGTATGAAAGAGAGAGAATCTCGCCAATGCCACATTGCGCAGTCATCTCTAAATAAACTTTGTTTGCAATCTCCATGAGTCATTGCGGCACAATTACAATTCTAGCACGCTATGTTATTTGTTGAGAAGCGTCAATTTTTTTTGTGGAACAGAGAAAGTACAGTTCAAAAACTGTGAGCAGGCAAATCGATGCCATGATTAACTGATATTAACAGACACTCTGAAGATTTAAAATGCTTGCTCTGTGTTTCAAGAAAGCAGCTGAGAAAAAAATGCCTAGCAGGGGTTAAACCCAAATGCCTGCACTGCAGCCTATTTCTGTCAACACTCCGTTCAGGAAATAAACATTTATGCTTTCTGAAATGAAAGTGTATTTTTGAAGACTAGCCGTCAGATATTTTTTGCCCTTCACACTTTCAGATGCTTAGCCTTTTTTGTAAGTTGACTGCAAAGTGCATCAGTTTGCCAGCCTGAAAAAAAAAATGTGCTTGATGAGTGCCCATGGCACCACTGTCAACCTCCGAAGTTTCTAGCAGAAGAAGGCAAGAGAGTTGGCACAAAACATGCTTTCTTCAAGCCTGTTACCTCAGGGGTACCTGCCTCTTGAGAAGCTTTTCAATCCTTCCAAATGATGTTATTCCCAACTGTCATCTGGTTTATTTGGAGCACACTGTGTTGCAGATAAACATGCTATTTAACTGTGGGTCAAGGTAGCGAGTCGTTCTGCTAAGCAAAATGCCTGAGATACATTAAATGGCACTGATTCCCAGACAGAAATGAAGAGAGATCAGAGTTGTCAGCGATATACAAGGAATGGGCTATAGCCAGTGAAGAAAAAAAAATGTGCCAGGGTATCATTGTATTTTAAAAAGCTGTAATACGGCTGAACATTTAAAACTATAACCTGTCACACACCAAGGATTAAGATCTCCGGGTGTACAAAACATGAAGTTCAAATGACACAACTGCAAAGCATATTTTATTTCACTTGGGAAAGAGGTTTCTCTCCAAAGATAACTAAATGTAATAGATGATGAGGACCTCTAACTTGTAGCCTGATAGCTATAAAACACCATTAAACACCTGGTAAAAGCACAAACAGGTAATGATCATTAGGATACAAGTGCACAAGGCAACAGAGCCATCAGGTATTAGAAGATTCCTTAGACTCACTTTATTAAAACATTCATTCTCATTTAGGTCTTGGTCATTTAGGTTTTGAGACTTTGCTCAGGTCTGTAAAAAGATATTATTTCATCCATATGGACTCACGGATGAGAAGTGTAGCTAGCAATTCTCAAGTCAGGTAAAAGAATTTTATGGGATTAAAATAAAATCTCTGTTAGGTATTTGCCCTCTTTACTGACCATAGGAATGTGACTGTATCATAATGAGGCTGTGTAACTGCTACTCAGGCATTTGGGCAGGAAAGCTCTTTGTGCTGCCTTTGCAGAGTTGTTGTATAAAGGGTTAAAAATGTGAGACAGCTATTTAGATAGACCATGAAGAAGTAGAAAAGTCCAGACTTTTATTTTATTTTGCAAAGCATAGTTCCTCTTTTTCCTGTGCTTTTGCCAAAATTATACTTCCTTGAATCCACTCAGAGAGGAGGATATTTAGCAAGTAAATTTGTCATTTCTCTTATGCTATAACCATCTCCCCATGCTTCCCAACCAAAAATTTTTTAAAAGTACCTTTTTTCCTTCTCTTTATTTCATAGAGAAGTGAAATGAAAAGTTAGGTTTGCAAGAGGTATGAAACACACACGCACATGTACAAACACACACGTCATCAGCATCGAAAAAGTAAATTTCAGGATCAACCTAAATAAAATGAAATTTTATTACTTTTTACTTAATTAAACCCCAAAGAAATGTGTGAACATTGTTGCGGCTGAAAAATTGTTAATTTGTAAATCACAGGGACAAAGGGGCCCCAGTGCAACTTTAAAGTTTCCGTGCACGTAAATGTCGATAGCGTGCCTTCTCCATCATCAGCACTAAATTCACATTGATGCCTCTTTTCTTCTCTGTATTGATCCTTCCATGAGAACGTAGATTTGTATCTGTTAATTAATGCGTCCTGAAACAGCGTTTGTATTAATCAGGCAGATAAGAAAAATTGGATGCCTGCACCCCCCTGACAACCGTAAAAGTGCTGGCCCTGATAAAATCGTGGATGGACCTCAATAAAAAAGTTCCTCCTTCCACTCAATAAACTAATCATCCTGCTTTTAATTATTCGGCAGAAAGATGTGTGGAGATTGGAGAATGTGTAAATCTATTTACTAACAGCAGTGTCTGGGAGGGAGAATTGGGCTGTCACAGGAAGGTGCTGCGGGCTACGCTCTCTGTCCATCTGCTGCTGCAGAAAACTGCTGCTTAGGAGCATGAAAGACGGGAGAAAACCAAGGCAAATTGAAAAACCCTTTCCTTTTTTGCTCTTAACTTCCCAGATGATAATTTGTTTTTGTTGTTGATTTAACTTACCAAAATATCCCTACTTAGTATCTTTTCCAGAGTTAGATATCATTATCTGCACTGCACTTTATTTATTTATTTTTCTTCTTGATTAGAGGAGATAGAAAGAAAAAGAAAAAAGAAATAGTGCATTTTTTTGTTTGTTTGTTAGTTTTGTGACTATAACATTCCCCAGATTGTAAGCACCTGGAGGTGCTATCTATGAAGTTATATTATTGTTTTTTTTTTCTTTTTTGAATCTTCTTTTTAAAATGTTATCAATTATATGTCCAGTTCTAAGAGGATATTTATTAATTTAACCCTAAATTGCAATGATAGGAAAAAAAGAGATCTGGAAAAAGAAAACTTGCAAAGCCAGACAAAAATGAGCTCTGTCCTACAACATGTAAGCCCCTTGTCAGTGAAAACAATGATTTTCACACTTGCATAAAGACTCCTTTAAGAAAAGTGGACTAACCCCTTTCCATGATTTTATGAAGCACTTAGAGTTAGTGTTTTCACCAATAGGTCAGGAAATCATTCCCTTTTCTTTATTGTGCTATAGCTTTTGGCATCATATGGAATAGGAACAATCTGATATGAATAAAAATGACAGCAACAATGACCCGAAGCAGGAGCCTAAAAAAGCTTGGGTGTAAGTGGATGTTTATAATTTCTGTAATATTTGAGTAATAACATCTGGAAAAGGAGTAAAATTAGATTTCTTAGTTTGCATTATTAAAAATACCCTCTCCATCTTAGTGGAATTACTAATGGCAGGACCATATTTTATGGTGCTGTTGTTCTCAAAAAACATATGGGGTAGCTGGTCATCCTTGGAGTTCCTAGAGATACCCTTGCAATGAAACTTTACATTTTAAAGACTCTATAAAAAGCATCTAATGGTCAGATACCATTAAGACTTCTTTTTAGAATATAGATCTAGATCTTGTGAGATATGACTACACATATATATTCTCCAGAGTATGCTTAATTGTACTACTTCATCTTTTATCATTGATAAACATTTTTTATTTTAAATTTTTACATTTGTTTTTCTCAAGATTAGAAGAGACTTTGTGCTTGTGTGAATGAAGCCCAGATTTCTAGTGAAGAACTGAAGCAGTCAACCATATATTTCAGATAAAAATAATCCATACTATAGTAACAGTTATCAAATACATGGTATAAATGATTATCTGGATGAATATTATATATCCCACATGTAAAAATTAAGGTACAAGCTAATTGACCTGCTCAAGGTGAAATAGTTATTACCAGCGTGGGGCCAATATTTCCATTCCGGATCTTTCTTTCATTTCTTTTCTACCAAACCCTAATATTTTTCTATTTAACTTTTAAAATAATTGAACTTGAGTAAAAATTGTGACTTTTTTACTTGGTAAAGAAGTCAAGCTGCTATTTATTCTTTCTTTTATACCACTAGTTGCCATTTTAAAAAGAAATTTATGTTAAATATCACTGGGGACAAATTATTCAACTGAGAAGGCTCGTTTAGTTATAACTCCTCATTCACTATCATTACTGAGAAATGTTTTCAAGTTGTAGTCTACTGTGTGGCCCACACTGTTTTCCTTTTTGTTGTTGTTTGTGGGGTTTTTTATTATTTTGACTTTTATATTGTTTATCAATATCAGTTTTTAAAAAGTATGTAGCTAAAAATCTGACTTCCCATAATACATTCCTAAAAACTTCACCAGTAATAAGCAATAAGGATTACATGGTATTTTTTTTATAAATAAAATTTAAAAATGTAGACCTTTATTTCATTTCCCTCAGCTGAGTCTATAAAACCTATAAAAACACCAACCAATCGAAGCTGGTTTGTAACTTTTACTTTGCTGTTCACAGAGTGATCAGGGGAAAATTTTAGGAGCTTCTAATCAAAGCTCAGCATCATTGTGAGCTCCAGTGCAGAAGCTGACTACCATATGAAACTAATGTTGCATTATGAAATTATGGCTTTAAAGTAACTTGATCTGCTCATCTTTTCATGCAGGCTTCTCCACGCTGTCCCTGGCGGACCAGATGAGCCTTCTGCAGAGTGCTTGGATGGAAATTTTGATCCTTGGTGTCGTATACCGATCCCTTTCATTTGAGGACGAACTTGTCTATGCAGACGATTATATAATGGACGAAGACCAGTCCAAATTAGCAGGCCTTCTTGACCTAAACAATGCTATCCTGCAGCTGGTAAAGAAATATAAGAGCATGAAGCTGGAGAAAGAAGAATTCGTTACCCTCAAAGCTATAGCTCTTGCTAATTCAGGTTGGCATATTGACATGCTCATTGCTTCATTTTTTAATATGTCATTTTTACCCCCTTCCCTTAACTTCATCAGGGATTTGTTAGACCTAGTTTGTAAATTCTGAATGAGTCAGCAAAATTACAATCAGTGTAGCTTCCAAGAAAAGTTAGAAATGAGAAAAATACACTTAAAGAGAATTATTTATTTTCCTTGCTTATTGAAAGCTGTGAAAACTTTAACCACCTAATATATTTACTAATTTAGATCATAGCAGAGCAAAAGCTCTGGTATGAGCAGTATAAGTAGAAGCCCTGGGGACAAAATTAGCTCTGCTGTCCTTCATAGACTAGTCCATGTAAAAGAATTGTGGAGCTAAACAAACCACTTCCTCTCAAAAATACACATTTTTACAATAGGGGTAATGCTTTTATTGTTGCTTCTAATTTTAGTTATCAAACAATACTCCATTTCTTACATTCTGAAATCCTCTAAAAGTCAAATTCTGCTGAAGAAGTATGTCCCTCAAATGTCCCACCCGGGCAGCAAGGGTTAAGAATTATGGGGATAAATGTTCCTTCCATTTGAACTGAAACGTGCTAAAATAGGGAGCAACTCTGATAAGTAAAAATCGTTGGTGCTTTGTTGTTTTTTCCTTTGTGCCTCTTCTAATGCTTTATTGTGGTCTTAAGTCTCTTTTAGCATTTGCATAAAGTTCAGGATAGATCCCCCCTTAATGACGTGCCGATCATTAGATACCTGTGTGTCAATAACATGCTCTGATGCTATGTACCATTGACAGTCACACCGTGCCCCTCCATCTGCTTTTGTTTTGACCCTATCTTTGAACTTTATCTTGGTTGCCGGCCAGTAGTTTTCCCTTTAATTACAAGAAGGAAACTGTCAATAAAATCTGTTAAATGGGATGCAATGAGTGGCTTGAATGGGCGGATGGCTATTTGTTCAAATTCTGCAGCATTCAAGGTATTGACAGTTTGTTTTCTGGGGCCATATGTGACGATCAATCTCAGGCTGGGCTCAGCCGCGCTGAAAAATGAAAAACCAGATTGCTTTTGCTTACTTGTGGATGACGACTTTGTGATTTGGCACGGTCCTAGTGAGATGAGACCTTCTGCCCAAATTGCCCCCATGAGAGCTAGGGACGCGTGACTGTTTTTAGAAATAATTTTTAATTGATTTTGTAATTAACAGTTCATCTACAATATTGATGCATAAATCCTTGGACTGATAGGAGGGAAATTGTTTTCAACAATGAAGTTGTACTTTCCTATTTGTCTTCATAATGGAGTTTAGCATCTCACAGTTTTAATTGGGAATATAACCCCCTTCCTTACCACACTGTTCACCCCTCTTCTCCCACTCCTCTGTGAAACTATAAAATATGATTCTTTATGACAAATGGTTTATTGTCATAAACCCTCAGGAACCCTTTGCCTTGCTGGTGAGAAGGTAAAAATGGGAGCTGGGATAGAAGTTTTTTGGAAATTTATTATTTTTTTCAAACTTCACAGATGGATCTCTCATATTTAGGTGAAAGATTTTATAGCATTGCTTGGGGAGGCATTTTTATTTGGTAATAATGAAACAATTCTCATTTGAAACAATTAATTGGTCAATTGTTTTTAAAATAGAGTAAGTATGTTTTATATGTTTTATGTTTCAAATTGCTTTTTAAAATTATTAGCTAATTGTGAATGCTGAGCAATGCTAAAGCTTTATCATAAAAATTGCTAAAAGTTTATAATTTTAGATGTTAGATGTATGCTTTATGGCTAAGTATTATAATTTAGAATACCTTAATTAGTAGCAGGATTTCTGACTCTGTTGCTTAGAAATATAGTCATTAATATTGTTGATATATAAATGTTCTAATCCCACATACTCTGCTGTTGGGGGAAGAAGTGACCTACTTTACAACAGTGACTGGTGATTAGACTTTATTTAAAGAACTAGTTAGTTTATTTTTCTGTTTAAAGCCAGAAATATTTACCAAGCTTTTCTGTTTCTCCTATTATCAAAGTTGCTTTGCAGGAAATTTCTGCATGGCACAAATTTTTTTCTGCAAGTGATTCTAACCCTTTTTTATTTTTAGCCTCTTAATACCAAGAAAATTAATTGAACCAAACTCCATACTAAAGAAGAAGTGATTAAGGACTATAAAAACTATTTTAACCTCTACATTGTCCCACCTTTCCTGTGCTGTAAACTTTTGCTCACCATCTAACACACAAGCACCACATTTTTAGTTTGGGGAAAACAACTCAAAAATCATTTTTTCTTTTTTTTTTTACATTGCTGTCAATGTAAATCTATTTTATTTCAGTTTTTTAGTCATAAAATTATAGGTTCGTCCAGATTAGAACCAGTGTAAGTTTCTTTAACTGTTCATAAACACATCAGTATGAAAATATTTTAATACTTTTCATAAATATCCTAAAAAACTCCTAGATTTGCTTTTAGTATTTAGGAATTTCAGATGAATATAGATGATGTTTTATGCAAAAAATCCCTAATGTTATTTATGTAAGTATTTTAGCTTTCCCTGTGTAGCTATGTGTTAATAACCAATGTCCAGTTTATCTAGATTTCATGTTATTTTAAAATGTGTCTTTATTAAAAAATTATCAATGTTATGCTTGGGAAATAAGGCACTTGACCTCCTATAATGACTGTCATATTTTTTGTGATGGTGTTTCTGTCGTATGTGAATTCAGGAAAACATGACACCAGAACATCATTGGTATTATATTGCCTATCTTCAAGTATGTGGCCCAGAATAATGATGAACTAATACTGCAATTCTTACATACATGTATTTGAAAACCCTAAGTAATTATTTCAATTACTTTTGAACATAACAAATTTACAGACTCATGTAAGCTGTGTTTTCTCTTATTTTTGAGTATTAACATTGAGCAATTAATTATTGCACCCATGATGCAGCTCTGTGGGATCAAATTTAAAAAGAAAAATCTAGGTCACAATTTGAACATGGTAATTTGTAGGTTCCAGTCTTCTCATGCATGCACCAAGAGGTTAGACTGATCTCTAGAATTATTTCCATTAGGGGGAATTCTATGATTTTATGATGAATTTTATCTTTGTATTGGAGAACATTGTGAAATATTGCTATAAGAATTTTGGGTAAGGTTATGCCACAGGATTCTAGTCTCATGATTGGTTCTGTTGATTCATATACCTATGAATTTGTTTGAAACTGCTATCACTGGTCCCAATGTAATATACTCATTTTCACATACTGGAAGATGAAAGGAGTCTAAAATTATGAATCACTTTAGGTCTGATCATTCTCTTTTGTTCAAGTCATAAGACCTTTATGCTTCATAGTTGCCACTCACATTTCAACCTTTGTCACCCTTGTCCTGTCCTTAGTCTGAAACCAGGTGAGTTCATTCCTTTCAAAAATAAGTATTTTTAAAGTCAGGGATTTTTTTAAAAATATCTACATAGTATTTCTGGAATGATAGGACCTAATGATACACAGCTACAATTAATACTTTGGTCATCAACTTCAAATCCTACATAATTATAACAACCTCATAGTGGCAATATGGGAATAATGGCAAGAAAAAAAAATTGTACATGTTCTTAGCTGATTTTACTAGAAGTTGAAATAATTTTTTCTTTTATATTCTGGAGATGATTTTAGCTAATGTCCAAGATATTATCATTTTATAGAATCTTTCTGTAGCCATTTATTTTTTTAAGTCACTTTTGGGTAATCTCATTTGATTCCTACAACATACCCATGCTGTAGACATGTCTAAATCATTTTACAGATATCTGAAGTGAGCTGATAAAGAAGTATGGTCTCTGTGAAGCAGAGAGTTGGATCTTCTGTCCCGTGCTATCAGTGAGCTATTTGTATTTCATAAATAATTATGTATTATATCTTTAAAAGGCTCAGTGTAGAATACTAGAGCCATTGTAATTTCATATTCAAGAACCTAAATTAACATTTTATATTTAGTTAAGAATTGTGTGCCTTCTTTTATTTTGCTGTCTTTTTGAATTTAAGGTACAATTGTTCTTCAGTATCTGGAGAAATTGGTTCCAGGACCTCTCTGCCTACCCATGGACTCCAAAATACACAGTTTCAAGTCCCTTATACAAGATGGCAGCACTTGCATGTAACCTATATACACCTCCTGTATACTTTAAATCATCTCTAGATTACTTATAATACCTAATACAATGCAAATGCTAAATAAATAATTATTATATTGTGTAGGGAATAATGGCAAGAAAAAAATCCATACATATTCAGAACAAATACAGTTTATCTTTTTGGATATTTTCTATCCATGGTTGGTTGAATCTATGGATCTATATTCCTCAGATAGGGAGAGCTGACACCTATAAAACTACCCAGGAAAATGACAAACTGAATTTAAGAGGAAATGCTTACCATGTGATTTTTAGTGTCTTATGGTAAATGAGCATGGTAGGTAGATCTTTTACCCAGACTAAAAAGTAGTTCATACTAAATAAGAGATAAGAAATCAAAATTATAATTTTCCACCTTCTAGTGTACATTTTTAAACAGAAATCTAACATTGCTTCTCAGGTTAATTATATTTCAGATGATATATTTGAAAAGTATTTTTAATGCAACCTTTAATATTCATATATATTATGATATTGCAAAATTTTAAGCAAAACAAAAAATAGTTCTTCAATATACTTTTTTATGCTTTGTGATTACTGTCCCTTGGCACAGTATAAGGCAAATTTGCTGCAAAAATATCTGTATTTTCAACCTGAATAGTAGCAAACAAAATACTCTGAAGTTGCTTTACTTTGAGGTTTTAGTGACTATAACATCAGTTTCATTTATGGGTCTAAGACAAAGAGCAATCTGTTACAAAACTTAATTAGCATGATGCAGATCATCTTTGATGCTATGGAAGGTTGAAATATCCATCAACCAAATTGACATCAACATTCAGTTATCCATTAAAATTATCTTTAACACTTCTAC